TTCAGTGCAAAAATAACTTCCTTGAGGTTTTGTCTTCAGCATTAAGCTAAGGAATGCTTTTTCTCTCCCGGAACCATGGGACAGCTTGGGTTCAGAACCATCTTATGGAGACAGCTGCAACAAACAAAGCTCTGTCTTTTGTGGAGACTTTAAACTTACCAGTAGGCCGATATGGACAGCCTGTTTTTTAGGTGAGTAAAATTTCCATGTTGACATTATAATCTCAAGTGTCACATGTATTGTGTATTATTCATTAAACGTGTTTGATGAAGTTTAGTTCTTTATGAGACAAGTTTAATTTGCAAGGTAGACCATAACACATATTATGGTGATTGATTCACATATTTACTATTACTCGTGTTGGTTTGTTATGCATGTATTAGTATTATATTAATTATTGGTACTGTATATTGCACATCTGTGTGTGGCAACTAGCTTTCTGATTGATTCTTAGTAGCCATAAAGCACTCTTGCAATCTACAGTTCCAATTTCTAATTCTTCCAGTAAATTAAACAATCACATCACTACACAAAGAATGGCAAAACAAGAGATTTGTCAATTTGTGGTGGACTTGATTCTGTTTGCAAGTTCAAGAACTTAGCTTATAAACATATACATACAAGAATTAAATTTCAGAAACAGAATGATGTTTCTGTCAAAAAGAAATTTTAGCACCACCTTCAGACATGATTAATAGATATGTATTTTAGCAAATCTGCAACAGCAGAGAAAAAGAATTTGTGTGTTTTGTGCTGTGTTATTGAACATATTGTTAAACTATCTGTTGCAAATTCTATGTCAATTATTGGGATTCCATATCTCAAATTGCATTCCTCAAAGCAAAAAAGTTTTGATTGTGAAGCCTTCTAGAAATGTGTGGATTTGGATGAAAAACCCTTCAGTTTTTTACAACTCTGGACTACCTCTTTTGCATATGCAAGCATTGAAAAAAGTAGAGAAAGATATTGACTCATTGCTATTTTCTCATAATTCCAGATGTTTTTCTTGTAATGACTTTAGCAGGTTCCAGCAATAAACGTAAATTGTTCATTTTCTTATTGTCTTAGCACACGGTCAAGGACACATACTGTATACTGTAGTAGTTCAGGTGGGTAGCTGCGTCAGCATGCGTAGGCTGCAAAGGAACAAGTAATAGGTTTATTCCATGCTGAAAAGAAGAAAGAGAACACAACGTTTCGGCCGTGGAGCCTTCCCAGTATACTGTATACTGTACATTTGTATACCCATATCTTGTTTTTCTTAAGAGGCAGCAGTTTTAGCCTTATTTACTCAGATGGAAGAAAGTTCCGGCATCACTATGTGCCTAAGTATGACAACCACTGCTGTAACAGTAGGCTGTGAGGAGGGAGTCAGTACTGTGCTATAGGTTTTTGTGCTGCAGTCAAACCAGCAAGCCAGATTTTCCATTGACACTCTTTAGTTGAAGTTGTGAGTCCTTATTAAGCTGTAACATAGCTGGATCCCATGGTATGATTCTTCCTATCTTTCTTGACAGTACAAATTAAACTTGCTATTTTTTTAAATGACTTTGAATTTGACAGCTTGTATGTCTTCAAGAGCAGGACATACCAAATGAGGTCAAATAAAATGATGTCCGTGAAAATGAAAATAAGAGAAACTCAAAGAAAATGCAAATGACAATTACAATACTTATTCTACTCATAAGGCCTTTCTTAAAGCCTTGGGTTTTCTGACTAAAAATTCACTACCAGGGAATGGTCTAATGTACTACCACTCTTAAACTAGCACAGTCACTACAGGAATAACAGAATTTCATGTTCTACTGAAAGACCTGTGAAATCTGATTTCAAAACAGAATTTTTAAGTATTGCCAGTAAAACTTGAATACAAATGTGGGATAAAGAGACATGTAAAATGAGGTTGTATCTGTGTTAAGTGAGACAAGATCTACTGTAGTTGCCCAAAAAATATCAAGTTAGTTTTTGAATTTCCCTTGTGCCTTGGAATTGCAGTTATGGGAATAAGTTACTGTATCAATATCCATGATTTGGGATATTCTTGCGGAAGTTAAATTATAATTTTGACAATTGAATAAATGAAGCCATTATGTCTTCAGGTGTTGCATTTTGTGCTTGAGGGAAAGTCTACACACACGAGAACTAATCAAGTCACAAGAGAACTTGCACTCAATCTGTTTGTCTGTGGAAACTGACTTTTAAGAAAAACAAAAGTTGGAGATTTCTACAGAGAGCAAGAATTGAAAGATATATATATACAGAGCATTACTGCTTGTCTCTCAGTTAGTTACTATCTGACTATAGTCCCAATCCCTAATCCCTTTGAACATACTGTACATGTACTGTATGATTCACCCCCATGGTTGTCTGAAATGGGAGGCATAGTGAGAACACGAGCCTCTAATCAGTTCCCTCTACTGCAATATCACAATCCCTGTGAGAACATCACTTTAGTAGTTAAAATCCTGAGAAACACTAACAAAGTCAGGCCCTACATGCCCCTTGGACCACATCTATACCATCTACCTCATTATGAGTTCTTATTTATTGCACATCTCCAGTCATTGTTTACACGTCTGCATTGTTTACATTCATATTGCTTACTTGTTTACTTGTACATTGTCTACTGTTTGTTTGTATATTGTCTTGATGCACTGTCTGCACTTTGTGTTTTTACACTTGTTTTACCAGTCGAGAGACTTTCTGTAAGTAAGAATTCCATTGTACCCATACATGTACCGGTTACATATGGCAATAAAGTTCAAGTTCAAGTTCACTAGATAACTAACTCTGATTTAAACCATTTCCTGTTTGAAACTTTCCTTGTGTTCATATTTTACATGGTACCTCAAATGTTTAATAAACAAATAATTCTAGCAAAAACAATATAACAAATAATGACATTGTGGTGCTTTCAAAAGTTAAGCAATAACAAGTTTTAAACAAAGATTTAAAGAAAAAGCTACAATTCCTTGGGCCATTGCAATATTGGCATGAATCTGTCTTGAACTGATCACCTTTAATTATATACAGTACATTACATGCAGTACAATTCAAAGTAAAAAGTGTGAGTTTGGCTGGAGTATTTCAACTAGTACTGTAGTTAACACAGTGGTTGAAAGAAAAAAAAAACAGTGCATGAGAAATATTAAATGACTTCCTTAAATGCATCTTATTCACATACAACAGCTTTGGAATGAACTGGAACTGAAAAATAGCTAAGATTCTCTGCACTCCTCAGATAGAGGAGTGGTACAATATTCCTGTCACCATTTTAAAAAACCTTCCTTCCAGTACTGATGCTGTTAATAAGCCAATTTTGGTTCTGCACACTACTAAATCCATAATGTAGTGCTGACATTTGCTATTTTGCCTTTTGTCTGACTATGTTTGAGAAATGTGATAGAAAATGTTAGTATTTTACCCATTTAAAACGAAAACCTTGACCTCCCCGATAACCTTACACTCCTAACCTTGCACACGGGAGTGGGTCTGTATTTCCCAGCTTGGTTGAAAGTTTTTATCAGCAAGAGGATCTGAAACGTAATCTTAACAAAAATCAGAGCCTTTTTTCCCAGCTACAGCAGAAATCTACCACCTGATAATCTATCACTGCTGTACTAGTTAATAATATACTGGTATTCACTTATGTTTCCCTTCAACACTATGTACTGTATTATTTCATATTATCAAAAATAAAATGTACAGTATACTGTATCTACCTGGTGCCCCTCAAATAAAAAAAGATTCTTTAGTCAATAACATTTCTAAAAAAGAGTGTTTCTTACCTTGGGAAGGGTCTTTATACAGTAATAATATATATTTTTCCAATTTATCATAATAATACATTGAATGAATGTACAGTATTTCCTTTCATACACAAAATCAAACAACTGTGTAATAAAAAGATGGAAATGAAAAATCTAAACAAAAGAACCATGTAAGATTTTATCATTTTATAAGATTGTAGATTCTATTATTACTCATACTGTATAAGGAGTTGTATACTGTACAACATACTGTACAAAACTCTGTAGGAGTGCTGGTTTAAGCAGGCAGGTTCTGAAGCAGAATTTAAGAGACTCAAATCCCTGATCTCAGGGAAGAGTACTTCGTAACCTACATGTGCGTTTATAGGAGAACGCTCTCTCACCCACCGTTCTGTTGAGAACACAATAAACTAGTGTCTGAGGACCATAGAGTGTGGCTGAGGGTCATGATTTGTCAGGTAAGAAATTGGAGGGGGGCTTCATGGCATTAAAAGTCAGCAGCAGTGTCTATACTAAGTGAACATTTCCAGCTGTCTCAAAAGAGCGGTTTTATGTTCACCAGAATGAGGCCAAGAACGTTAGCTGAGTTTTGGACATACTGTACTTGAGTTTTTGTGAATGTATCTCGCTAAGTAACAGTGCTTGTAACTGTTTCAGTAATTAATTAAATAAGGTGGAGGAGTACATTGGGTGTTAAAAATTTAACAATTATATTAAGGAAATACCGTATATCAAACTAATGTATAAACCGAAGTTTTCAGGATGAACATACAGTACCAACGTTTTAACTTGGTACAGAAGACTCGATGAAATCAAGTCTTAATCCCGGGAGAACAGAGAATAAGATAAGACACCCTGTTTCTGCTGTTGTTTTATTGTTTCATAGAGCTACTGCAGTCATCATAGTATTTTCAGTTTCATAAATCAGCTTGTTTCTTGGCATCGAAATCTGCTTGGCCGGTATCGTTTTTATGGTTTGAGCTCAGTGCACTCAGATTTCTGATTCAAATATAAAAATGTTATTTATGCAATACATGAATGTAACAAGCCTCTACATTTTGGTAAAATTGAAACACGTCGTGCTGCCAAGGACCCCCTTCAGCATGAGAAAGTGAATTCTATTTTAATATGCTTCTTCACTTCTCAGTCCATTTGGTGAGAGATCTGGGCGGGGCGTCGAGGGGAGGAGAGTCCGAATGTGCCCCCTGCGTGTGTCAGTCTCACCAGGAATGTGATGGGAGATGCTGGTTTCTCTGTTCATCTCATAAAGCAGTGTAGGGATTGTAGCTTTGCATCTCCGACGTAAAGTATTCTTCTTAACTGATGGCGATTTTACTGTCTACTGAGATCAGAACTTCTTTGGTGTTTTGAAAACAGCTTTAAGCGGCGCTCTAACAAAGGTGAAATTTAGGGAGAGAACATCACTGTGCGCCTTAGGTTAGGTGAAAGGGAAGCAATGCCAGCGATCTGATGCTGCAGAAAATTCGCCATTGTTTCGACGAGAAGCCGATTTATCATTACTTAGATTTATAGTTACCTTTTCAATGTTTTGCCAAGTGGCTAACAGGATCTCCATTTTCATGCTGCCTTGTATCATATGCCTCATTTTCAGCATCCAGGTAGGAAATTCCTGCTTATTTCGCCTTTAAAATCTACAAGCAGCGCTTGACGGGACTGCCATGATTATACCGTTGCACGTTTCTTTTGGTATTTTTGTACAACTTGTGTTGGAGCTGTGTGCTATTTTAATGTATCTGATGGATCTAAAGCTTTAATCCAATTATTAAAACATATTATCTTGTTTTAGCAGTATTGCTCCATGTTAAAAGAGAAGCATGGTCTGACAAATGTTGTCGCGTTTCTGCAAAATGCTTCTTCAGGCAAAATGGGGTCATTCCGTTGAGACTGTTCGCTATTATCCTGCATTGTGATTTCACCCATTCTCATCATTTGGCCTTTGATGAAAACGCATGTTTTATTCTGAAGCGGCACAGTTTTAACACGTTTAACTTGAAGAAAAAGTGCATGTTGTAGCATTTGCTCTTTTGTGAGTTCTTTAATGAAGTTAAGTGCAAACTCTGAGCTGTCTTGCCTTCTTAATGACGGTATCGTTCCACCTGTAACATGTACTGTATGAGTTGAGTAGTATTAAAATCTAGTAGCCCCTTACATAAAATGTATTAACAGGTCTGTATTGAAAAAAAGGGGTGAGATGAAAATAATTTGTTTGAACAGAAACTTAAGTTTATGTTAATAAAAATGAATGAATGACGAGTATAAAGTATTATTATAGGATAAAATATCAATAATAATGTCTGTACTAATACCACGTTGTTATCCTTCTGAATCAGTTAATTGAATTAGGCCTGATGGTTTTAAACATAATATTTTTAATGAAAGCCTGACCTGTGCTGTAGTTAATATTTTTTTAGTTTCCTGACTAGAACATTATTTAATACAATACAGAAAATATTATAATGCATGTTCTTACTCTTTCTTTAAAGATATAATTATATACAGTACATTGTACTGTTAAAATAACCTTCAACCATTAAAAAATGCATACTATAGTAGGAATACTAGAAATTCTGTTTGTGAACTTACTATATGTGTCATGTAGATATAAGGTTATAAGGTTTTGTTTCCATTAGGTTTGTGAAATTCCTAGAAGCACTAATGTTTTTTACACTGGAATTCATTACATTTTATCTAGTAATGAAAAACTGATACCAACTTAAAGCTAAATGTTCAGGGGATACCTGGGGAAAACAAGACTAATATAAAAAAAATTAGCATAATGATTACTTACCGGCACAGAAATCTCAGTGTGTCAAAGAAACAAAGATTTTCAGCTCTTAAATTAATATACTGTATGACAAGTAATGCAATTAAGAGATTCTATCATGGCTGCACTGTAAACTTGGAGGTGGTTACATGAAGAGTATAGAGGTAGCCTACCTAAGTGGGCCAGACCTTTGGGGTATCAGTTCTGAATGGTGTAATGGGTTTGGATTTGCACTTGGGACTCAGACTAGTAGTCTCTTTATAGTGTGCAGCTGTACTTACTAAGTAGAGGAGATTTCGACTAGAGGGACCAAAGTACACTTTGTATCATTGTCTATTAGAAATATTAAGTGTTCTTAAATGTGCTTGCCATGGTAGTATGGTAGTGAGTGCTGCTACTTCATGGCTCATAGATCCTGTGTTCTGTGTGGAGTATTTCTTTTGCATTGCCTTCCACCTTGCAAACAGGTTCCGATTAGGTTAGTTGCCATCTCTAAACTTTCCCTGTGTTTCTGTGCCTATGTGTGTGCTCTTGCAGGGAATACTGTACTTCAAGTTTATGCTGGCTCTTCCTTTCTTGTTTGTATTGCAGTAAGAATTCCATTTGATCTTATAATTTTTAACCAACAGTGTATTTACGTTTGTGTCGGTAAAATAAAGCTTGAATGAAATTTTGGGTCATATACAGTATGTTTCCAGGTACAGTACAGTACTTGTTGGCTTTTCTTGTTTCTTCTGACTCATCCTGTCTTTGAAGACACCACCTCACCCATCTCCCTACATTGCTCAGAATGGGATCTCATATTCCACACTTATCTTCCTTGCTTCTAATCATTGTAGTGAAATATCATAATAGTGATTGAATCTAGGATAAAACTTAGCACATATGCGGGACTTACCCATTTCAGAGTGAAATATAATGCTATACAAATATTTGAATAAAAATGGTTAACTGGCTATTATTGTGGTTTTAACCTTTGCCAAATAAGCATAATTAAACAAGAACATGATTTTTTTTATGCTTCATCAAGTAGTTGACGCTAAAATTATTTTATTATCTGAAAGCTGCACAATCAGTTTACTGATTCTTTCTTTTCAATCTGCTTCAATACTAAATTAATGAGAAGGGTTCTTAAAGGCTTTACAGATTTGCTGTACTATGGGCGATGGAGACCAGACAATAGCTCACATCAACTTCAAGTGGACTGGACCGTCAAGTGTGCTTGGACTACGAAAACTGTGAACTGATGGTTGGTTTTCCATCAGTTTCACCACATTTCATTTAAAAGTGCAGATACAGTATGTGTATTTTCGTGGTTTGTAAGCATTATGTTTTTGTGAATCATAGGAAAAAGTGAACAATTGTACAACTAGTATAATAACACATCATAAGCTGAGCTTCATTCATTTGAACAAATAGCCACTCTTTGTTCATGAGGTATAGAAATCAAATATTTAGTGTTTTCAACAGCACATATTTTTTGTATACAGAGTAATGTACAATAGACACATGTCTGAATATTAACTTTACAAATTAAATAGCTATTGATTAAGTGTTTTATTTTAAATATGAAATTACTGAATTTCACTTTTCCTTAAATGTCAAATCCTTGCTTTGCTGGAGTTTGTAATAAATGGCGTTTTAACTACACTCTGGTCAAGCACACCCCTCCTCTGACAAAGAGATGAGGGAGTACGTCAGCATGTCTTTCATCTCTGGACATCTCTCACTTAGACTTCTAATAAAATTTTCATCATCTGGTAAAAGGAAAAGTCCATTTTGTGTTGTTTTATTATGCACTGAATCAGATGGAAGCAGAATGTAATTAATGGCACGGATCAACGGCTTGTGGAAAGTGCCTTCATTTGATGGGGAAGTGAGATTTAGAATGTAAAATTTGAAGCACTCTGCTTTTTTGCTTTTTATGTTTCTTATTTACTGTATTTTACAAATTCTGTACATTTTAGACTTAGAATAATTACACAGAAGCAGTATATGTGCCTATTATAATACACAATTTTCCTTCTTCACTGATGTGTTTTAGGATTAGTGAGGTGGTTTTCATTTGATATTCCCAAACTATAACACAATTTGGGCCTCGAATTATTATACAATGGATTTGTTGGAACATTTTAAATATGGCCTGTTCTTCAGCAAAAGTTGTATACTGTATATTGGCTACACAGTTAATTTCAGTTTAGGCAAGTTGTCAGAAGATGTTTTCATGAAAAATCTTCCAGAATAATTCCTTATTACAAAATGAACTACAGAATTAACTTTTCTAATTGTAGAAAGGGAATATGAAAGCAAATTGGCATCTTGATCAGTAAGTAATATTTGACATAAGCTCATGTCATTTATGTTTGACATTTAAATTCTGAAGTAGCATTCATGGTTGGCTTTTTAAATGTTTTTAAGTGTTTCAAGCTATGCATTTTGAGTGAGGAGTCCAGTCTTTTGGTGGTCTACATTGTACTGTATCAATGGTTGAAAGGGACATATCTATAAAATAATGTTGCTGTCTGTACATACAAGGGGTGTTGTTCACATTTGGCTACGATACATGTAGTAATGTGTTATTATAATAGAATGCCACTAAAACACTCACCTTCGCTCTATGTACTTTGAGAATATATATTTATGTTTATATAAATCACAACTTCATTTTGATTCTTTCTTTCTTAGTTCTATGTTAGTATGCTTTTATAAAGTTCCAGTAAAATTTGAATATTATGTTAAATGTTTTTATAGATATACTGTATGTTTAATATACATCACACAACACAAGAAGGTCACCTGCATATATCAGTATTTAATTGCTCTGCCATAATCCCTTGTCAAGATTATAAGAAGTAGTTCAAGTAGGTAGCTGCATCAGCATGCGCAGGCTGCAAAGGAACAAGTAAAGGTTTATTCCATGCTGGAAAGAGAAGAAAAGAAACACAATGTTTCGGCTGTGGAGCTTTATAAGAATGCTTATGGGCACAGTTTGTTGTGATGTTGTCAATTCTGTAGACTAAAAATGATTAGTGGATGAGCTTATATAGTAGTTGTAATAATATTAAATATTTAGTAATAATATTTACAGTATGTAGCACTTTTCACTTAAGGAATTCCAAAATCCCATACATAAAACAGAGGAACCACATCCATCACTGAAGTGTAACACCCACCTGAGTGACCTATGGCAGCCATGATGTACCAGCAACCCAACTACACAGCAGATCAGGTAGAGACGTACAGCACAGCGACAATATGTATATTTAAATTGCCACTGATCACTGCATTTTGATTGTTAGAAATTTTTGTCAGAGTGAAAACTAATGTGTATATTTTAAAAGTATTTTAGTGTGTTATATTGAATCTTATCAATCCAACTTTAAGGATATGTACATGCTGTGTTATAAATTGCTTTATATTTTAGTGTGTTACGATCTTACACTGATTATTTTAGCACTTTTTCCACAGTTATTTGTTAATTGTGAATGGCACATGATAGTGTTCGGTTTTTAGTTTTGACAGGTTTCACATTTATATTAGTCATGACTCCTTGGTTTTTACAGTTTCTCATCAAATGAAATAAAATAGTTGACTTGGAAGTATTCACCGCACTTAATGAGAATCGAAGGGATGATTGTGAGGGAATGTAAGAATCTAGTTTACCTTTGCTAACATTTCTGCTTGTGTTTTCATGTCCTGCAGTGCACCTTTGCATTGAACACAATGTTTTAGTTTGGCATGTTCCCAGCCCCCTTTTAAGCACCAGAAGGACAGTGGAAACGACTCTGTGCCTTGTCACCATGGTTTTAAAAACCCATTTCTCACTGCGTGTTA